CAAGGAATTGGTTAATGTTTATGTGCACCGGTTCCCCCATTTGAGAATGTGATCTTCAAATCTTTAAAACTCCCTGTCTTCTCCCAAGCTTGCATCTTTGTCAAAATGGAATAAATTTTGTTTTAAAGTCCTCTGCAACAGTGCTATCATAAAGCTGATACTGCTTCCTACAGACAGGCACAAAGTGTCTTTCTGTACATCATTTGGGGAATGGCCTCTGTGACAGGATTGGACTTGAAGCTTCCTTTTTTTGGGGGGGAAGAGGGGTTATTTTTGCAGACTTTGTGGTTAAAATCTTCTATTTATAAAACCTTAAATCCTGAAATGTGGCTCCATTACAGTATGTAGTGGGATTTGGAAAAAAGTCTGCTAGAACCGTATATATAATGGGTAGTGGAACAGTTAGGTCATGTTGAAGTTGTTACATTTTCTGTTACGGGTCCATGTGAAGTTTGGATTTGGTTGTTGGTTTTTGGTTTGGTGGTGTTTTGTTTTGTTTTGTTTTATTTTTAATGAATGCAGAGCTATTAATGTTTTTCTTAAAAAAAAAAAAAACAACTAAACAAATAATGGGCCTTCCATCTAGTAAAAATGTCCCTTTTACGAGTGTGTGTTTTTCCCAGTTAATGGTTATTTTAGTGGAGGCTGCCCTGTTCTTTCCATCTGATTTCTTGCGCACACCTCTGAATGTTTCCATTTCAGAAAGGAGGAGGACACTGGTGCCAATAGACTAACTTCAAAAGCTGCTATGCAGGAAAGTGTCACAGTTTTGACGTGTTAGGAATGAGCGAGGAAAAAAAACAAACCACCACCAAAACCCCTTAAACTTTTACTGCCATGCAGAGATGACAGAAATCTTGCTACCTGGGGGGAATCAAGCAACTTTGTCATGCTAAAATAGTGCAAGTGAATAGTCTTTCCATGCTCTGGAAAGAGATTTAGGAGCACTCAGTAGTTTTTAAAGAAAATATGATACTTTATCTATTGAATACTGCAGTTGTGTCATGCTGTAACTTAAAATGGGACCTCTGGGAGCTGCGTAGCTGCAGGATGCACGTAAGGGTTCTTTTTCTCCATATAGTATCATATTGCCAGTGGTTTTCATATACAGACCCAAGTGGTACCAGTAGTGTGCTTGCCCTCATCCCTAACGCCCAATTCCAGCCATCCTGGTGGAGCCACATTTGACGTAGGCAATGTTTTTCTGTCCAAGCCTCCTCAGAGCCTATTGAGAGGGAAGGGGAAAGGGGAATGCTGCCTGTTTTTTTTCCAAGAGCAGCTGAATGCAGTGCCCCAGTTACCACGTTTTTTTACATGGAGTACCTCAGAGGATGTACAAAAGCATCTTTAGCACTTTCAGTACAAGGACAACGAAAGGACCTAGATTATGTTGGCACTGCAGCAAGGGCTTAAATGAGTGTCACTGATCCATTGTTAGGAGATGACCCAGTTTGGACTATATTTATGGGGAGTGGGAGGGGAGAATGGACCTGTTTCAGATGACTTTTGAGCCTTAAATGTGCTTACAGGCTTTGTGTAGGGATTGCATGGGCTCCTGCTGGGTAAACAGAGCCCTTTGGAGGGTGTTCTGCATATACTGGCATGGTGATGCATCCTGCTCTTCCTGGCTAGACATGTGCCAGCCAAAATGGGTTGATTCTTGCAGCCTCTCTCTGCATGGCGTATTGGCTGCATAAAAACTGAGTTGTCAGGCAGAGCCTGCCCAGCTGACTTTTATTTATTTTGGTGCATTTTCTTGCAAGGCTTTTAAAGTCTCCAGTTACTATATAATTTGTAGACTGGTCCTAGCCAAGCAGATCCTCAGCTGAAGGCTGTGACCCTACAAAGGACTGGTGAAGGTAACAGGTTGTTAAGTTTGCACACAGTGGGATGCTTTTCTTTCTTCCATTCCCTTTCCCCTCCTGTAAATAGTCATACCATCTGTTTGAATACCTGTGTCACAGTCCCCTGTTCCCTTCTTTCCTCCTGGGTGGGATGGTAATGAGCTTCCTTTTTGTCTTAGAGGGCTTTGAAAGTTGGGTATTAGGGTCTACTGCCACTCTCTGCATCTTCTTCTGGAAGTCTCTTACCTGTCTTTTTTAAATGCTTTTGATCCTGCATCTGTAGAATTTGTGGAGGATGTAATTTCTCAGATTATCTTTTTTTTTTATTTTCTTCTTCTCCTTGCAAGGGTTCCTGTAGTCACTACATCAAGCTCAACCCAGATGATGCAAACTGCTTTGAGAAGTGTTCAGACCAGAACCTGCTGTGGGCTTAAACCCATCTGCAAATTTGGGAGGGGAAAGAAGAAGGTAAGCAGGGAAAACTCGTGAGGAGTCAGAGCTTGCACCATCAGCTGCAAAGCTTAGATGCATCTATTATCAAAAGTATCAGAAAATTGTGTTAAATGCAGTGTACTGCACAGCTGGAGGCAAGAGGAGGTGCATGGTCTTGTGGGTCCCTGCAGTCTGCTAGCACACTGAGGTCAGAGCGACACCAAGTTGCCTGCAGCAACTGCAAAGCTGAGCATGTGGGGCAAACTGGAGTTTCCTCCTTTCCCTGGCTTTCCAGGGGGTATGAATGGCAGTTTTGATAACTAACGGCTTCATGCAGAGAGGTCTGTCTGTTGTGGGAGATGTGAACCCAATTTCAGGCTTGGATGTGTTTCTTTTCTGTTGTAGGAGCTTTAGGCTGGTTTTTGTTTGGTTTTCTTCCTGATTCTTTTTTTAAATTAAATTTGAAAATGCTGTTCCAAGTGAAGGATAATGAAAATTAAGTGACTTGCCCTACCTCTTTCACAGCCAGTGCTGTGTGTAGTTAGTAGTTTAATGAGAAAAGACACAAGGCAGCTCCTATGACGAGGCTGGCTCTGCAGGACTTAGGAGTAAGATGGGATAGTAATCAGGTGTGATGTTGTGGTCTTCAGGACAGGACTGCAGGACATTCATTGTATTCCTTTGAACAGGATGGAGCCTTTCATGTGATTATTTTTTTTTTAAGTTTAATTCTGTAATCTTGATTCATTATCTAACAGCAGGAACACTCCCTAAACTTGGAAATCTATTTTAGGACTCTGTCAGTCTGTCTGAGGAGCTTTGGCTGTCCTCCTGGTGTGGGGCATCTTGTCTAGCAGATGCTGGGAGGGAGTTTTGTTGCAGTGGTCTGCTGCTGTTTGCTCATCTCCAAGGTATGTTGTGGGCTTTGTAGTTCTTGCTGACACAGACCTCCTCCAAACTTCCCTTCTGATGTGTCTCTTGTATATGAGAACTTGCTCCAGAGGAGCTTTCCACTGCATCTTCCCACTCGGTGAAATCTGTCTGTAGGGGTGGTCTGTCATTCATCTGTCCCAGCTTGTAATTGTCTCCTTCCAGAGCTCACTGAGATTGCAAAAGGAATTAAAAAAATGCCTTTAACACCAGTGGCTTTGCATCAGGAGGATTGATTTGCTGCTGTTCCCTTCATCCTGATAGCTTTTTCTCCTGGGCTTTTTAAGTGTGTGTGGATTGTAATTTTACATCCTCTTGAATTTAACATCTTTAAAAGGACTGCTTGGAGTTATGATTGGGGATGCAGAAACTTTATGCCCATCTGTTCTAGAGCAGGTAATGCTTCAGGCACAAACAAGAACAGAGAGCTGTCCTGTAAAGCAGTCCACTGCACATTTGCAACCAAAGTCCAGTTTCAAGCCCTGCAGGGTAATGTTTAAGATAATATTTTAATTTCATGTGTGGCCTTCAGTTTTAAAAGAACACAGCTGAGTCTGTTTCATTACCATGCCACTTTTGAGTCGCATGTGCTGTGGTCCACAAGCCTGCAGGGTGGCTTTTCTGCCACTGCCCTTGTCCCTGATGCTTTTAACCTGGTTTCAGTTTCATCCCCCTGCTTTTCCCTAATAACCTCTTGCCCTATTTCAGCTACTTTTTTTATGGTGTAGAAAGCCTGGACAGTTAATTTTCTACTTGCTGGAGAGATGCAGTCTGAAATTGACAACTCACCCTGAGGGAAGGCAGATGGGACTCTGGCAGCCCTACCAGCTTCTCATATGCCTGCAGCCCATTAAGAATAGAAACAGTATATCTGGAGGCCCTTCACTGGAGATGATGAAGAGATTGTTAGTGTATTGCCATAGGAGGACACAGGGAATGACTCCTTAGAAAGCTGGGCTGCAGTAGCTAAGCTGCCCACAGAATAGCTCATACCCATGTCCCACTCTTCCATCTGGTTTGGAGATTGTCAGTGTGTCAGCCCACAGTGTGGATGGCAGAGCCTGTGGACAAGCTGTGATGCTGCTGCTCAGAGTGGGTAACATCCTCGAGCATCCATGAGTGAGGAAGTCTACAGAGCCTGGCATGGGTTTGCTCATCACCTGCTTGAGTTCCTCACTGTTGCATCCTGCAGTGCCAGGGGAGCATAAGCTCTTTTCTCTGAGGCTCCTGAAAGACAAAAGTCAAAGTGCTCCAAACCACAACAGCTTCCACTCTAAAAATACCATAAAAGGCTGTGTCCTTAGAAGCTGGGCATGGGAGCAGTTCCCACCCACATTGCTGCAGCGTGAGTCACTAGCCTATTGCAACTGCTCTTCATGTGGGTGCCCGGCTGAGGATGCAGAGAGGAGGAGCAGCAGGAGGAGGGGGAAACCGCTCTGTAGCGCTGTGGAAGTGATGAACAGTTACGAAGAAGAGAATCACATGCAGGCATGCATGAACTCGATCAAACTGCCAGCGGGTTTTGCTTTCGTTAGGGTTTTCTCTGTTTAGTTGGGGTTTTTTTATGTTAGGGTTATTTTATTGAGAACTTTCAGCAAATGCTGCTTGCTGATCATTTGAGCTTAAGGTGTTTGCAGCCAAGAGTCTTCTGATTGTTCAGAAACCCCAGTTTCCTTTTAGGAAGCACAGTAATTACCACACAAATAATATGAAGCTGGAAAACCCCTCTGACTTTAGAAGTAGGTTTTATTTACTCTTTAAGCAAAATTTTTCTCTCCCTCTCCTCCCTCCTTGCCTTCATCCTTCCTTTCCCCTAGTGCAGAAATAGTCTGTGCTTCCTTGTGACAGATGGTGTAAAAACACATCTCCCTTATGTTATGCGCTGCTCTTACCTCTGCTTTTTATCCAACATGTAGGTACTAGGGAGTAAATTTGGTTTTGTTTTGGTTCCTTTCCTGAGGCACCACCCACCTGCCCTGGCCCCAGTGATTGTTTTCCCTTTTCCTTCCCTTTTGCTTGATGTCGTGGCTCTCTGGGCTTACCCTATCAAGTATGACAGTGGGAAATTCTATAAAAAGCTTCCTTTATTTAGACGCCAACCCAGTAGTGACATCATGTGGGCACGTCTTCCAAGTTCCTCTGGGCTGAGCGGATGGAGGGAAGTGGTGGCCATGAAGCTGAGCCTTCTGTCTTCCCCAGTGCATCTCCGTGATTCTGCTCTGTGGCTGTACTTCCCCAGCAGACTGGTGCATCTCCTTTAGCAAACATTTTAACAGTATAACATGGCTGTGGTTGTCTTCCTGCTCATGGCTTTCAGGTTAGTCCTTCGAAATGCTTTTTAGTGGGTGCTCACCCTGACTTCTCAGGGAAGCAGGAGGCTTGCACGCTCTATCTTCGATGCTGATAAATTTTGTGTCGGGCCAGTCTCAGATAACTTTGGCAAGGGAGCAGATGGACTGAAAGTATGAATGCCTGCATGGACAGGCAGAGAGCCGGGGGAATGGGTACATCTGAGATGTGCTGCTTGTTTTATGGTGGAGGGAAGGAGGCAGCGGAGTGGGACAGCAGGGCAAGATTTGGCCACCAAAGTAACGGACTGACAAAATTACTTTTTTGTGTGTGGTTTCTTAAAAAAGCATTGGTTTGAGCATTTCTGAATGGGGAAAGCTGTGTATTTGCTGAGGGTTAGTAAGTAAAGAGTGGGACCTGGACCTTCTGGGCAAGTTATATCTGCATTTCATTTACGTCTTTGGAGGAAAAAGCTGTGTTGTTCTAACATTCCCCTGTACAAGCTTAGTTTGTTTAAATGTAAACACACAGGCTTTCCCTTACCCTCCTAAAGTAATTCCTGAGTATTTTTCTGTGTGATCAATAAACCAGAGCTTATTTAAGCCATTAAATGGTACAAACTCCCTGCTGGGGGGATTTAATCGACTCCCTTTATTCATTGTACTACTGAAGAAAGCCATCAGGTTGCTGTACCTCATGGCTGTTTTGCTATCCACTAAACGTTGATCACACCTTTAGAGCTGGGAGGATTTCAGACAGCAGACTGAGGAGACAATTCATGTTGTTCATAATGCAGATTTTCCCAGCCCTCCCTAGGATTTGGGTCAGGTGAGAGGCGGGTTGCAGCCAGGCGCCAGTGCTTGCTCTGCACGGCTGCTCCGCTTGTTGACGTTAGCTCCTTCCCACGTTCTCCACCTCGATACTCTCAAGTATTAAAAAATAAAAATAAAACCATATTGCACAAACACTCTGCAACTCAGTAGGGGTGGCCAAGATACTTCGTACTCTTTAGAAGGTTATTTTGCCAAGTTAGGTGGTGCTAAAAGAAAATAGATTTGCAGGTACCGGTTTCAGACAGTATCTTGCCATCAGATGGCACAGAAAAGTGGGAACTTTGAGGCAGCAAACAAGATCTTTTCCCAGGGTCTCTTGTGTTCCCTGGCAAGAAAATCCAGTGTGCAAAATACGACCTTAATTAAAAAACAGGCGTGTTTTTACCATTGGGAAGTGACATCTGATAATGTTTTCACTGGAGAAGGGGTGTGGGGATTGTGTATTTTTAGCTGCAGCTATTCTCAAGTTATTGTTTTTCTATGACCTTTTCTTAATAATACATTTTTCTAACACTTTCTTTAAAATTTTTGTAGTTCCAGAAGCTTTTTCAGCCAAAGATATGTTGCTGGGGGGAGGAGAAGAGAGAGGAGCAGCCCACAGGCAGGCGAACTATCAAAATCTGTTTACTGTGGATTTCGGTGCCTAAGAAGGTGCAGTGTTAGAGTTGGGTGCATCATGTGAGAGACATTTCCCAGGTCAGAGAGGTGGCTGTGCTTCAGCTTTTCCCCCAGCTGCAGCAACTAAGATTGCCACTGCCTGCTTCTTAAAACCAGTTGAGAATGTTAAAAAAAGAAAAAGAATTTGGACAACAGATTGAAAAGGTTGGAAGAGGAAAGCTTGGACAGAGGAACGATCTGCTGATGGAGATGCTGTAGTTAGTACAGGAATCCCATGGGAGGGCAGGCATAAGGAATGGCAGCTTTAGGTCTTTGTGTAGTGGTTTGGGCTATGTGGCTGACTGTCTGGAGACACTTGGAACTTAACTTGCAAATGTTGTGTCTGAAATGATGAGAGAGCCAACAAATTCCAGTGTAAAACCTGAAGATCATCTTCATCAATCCACAGGCTGCTGCACTTCTCCCCTGATGTCTACAGACTGAAAAGCCAGCACAGATCCCAGGGGTCAGAGGAGCTGGTATTACGTGAACATCAGTGTGGCCATGAAAAAGCTTCACCGTGAGAGGTGGTATAAAGAGCAGGAGAGAAGTGTTTTCAGGTTGGGTTGCAGATGCTGTCTGTCTCTTGGTAGCTACCAGCAGAGGCGGTTGGGCTTTCCAAAGTGAAAAGAGCACAGTTAAGTGCTCTATGCTTGTGCTTTCATGGCATTGGGTGAGGAAAGTAATTAACTGTGCGTAAATAGAAAGCACACACCATGTGAATGCAGGCAGGAGGAAGGACAGGCAAGAGGTGTTGGTGCCGCATCTGCGGCTTGCCACTGAGTAATGGTGGTCATTGGGGAAGTTGGACCTGCCAATAGGGCTGGGAAAGTGTCTGGCTTAGGCTGAGCCTAGGGAAGGGACAAGGAAGATGATCAGGAGTTTCTACTAATTGTCAATAGATGATATGAAGGACATGTTCTCTGAGCCAAGGCTGTTTTGAGTTGGGGTAGTTGGGTATTTAATATCCTGAATAATACTTTGATTTTTGGTGCCCTTCTTGGTTTTAGGACTCGATACTTGTTATTCTGGTTGTTTAAAAAAGAAGTATAAATAAAAAGTGACTGCGTGCATGCATTCAGTGCTTTTTTGGGAACTGTAAGCTTGGCACTGTGTTTTCATGTGGCACCTGTGTTTAATTCTGCATCACTTATTGGCAGGAGCACAGTGCCTGGTGCGAGTGTTTTCTTTGTCACTGAATAAAAGCACTACCGGCAAGAGTGGAAGCTTCATCTGGATGGTTTTGAGGTGAAACATGGTGATAAGGCATCTGGCAGGAAGGAAGTGCCATGCATGGTAAGAAGAGAGAAACAGCAGGTACTCAAAGTATAATACTCGGAGTATGATACAGCAGATACTCAGAGTGGGCAGAGCATCTTCTGGAGATGATCTGCAGCTATAAAGCAGAGGCAGCCACTTGAAGGCAGGTCAGTGGTGCAGAGTTGTCCCCACCTCTTCAGGCTGTGCAGCTGAAGTATTGTCTTCTCCTGCATTCACAGGAGCTGTAAGGTGGTGGAGGAGGTGCTGGAGTGTGTAGTCCCAGCAGGGATGGGAAGAACCGGACTGGGCTTCACCTGGGTCCAGGCTGGATCTGCCAGGTGGGCTTTGAAGGGCCTCTTTCCCAAATCACCCCTTGCTGCTTCTTGTTCGGAGTGGGCTTGTTATTCTACTGAAACCCCTTCTGAAACAAAGAGGGAGAAACAATCTGGGAAAGCAAATACTTTCTGGTATAGGTAAGCAACAGTACAAGCTTTTGTTTTCTGTCAATGGAAGGAAGTGGGATAAACATGTAATAGCTTTAGTGCAGCACAGTCTTAACTGCTCCAAAAGAGATTTAGTACACACCTTCCTGTTGTGCGTCCTAGGAAAGGATAGGGTGGGGAGAGAGCCGTAAGGAGAGGATAGGCTGCTTGGAGCAGGTGCAAAAGGTGCTGCAGACATATATCTGTCTGAAGCAGGTGTTAAAGGAAGGTCTGCAACAAGTGAGCTGAGATGGGAATCCAGTTCTGGGCTTACATGGGAAATGGGGAACAGGAAGATGAATACTCCTTGGCTTGTATTCAGCCAGGACAAGACTGAAGCAACTGTGTCTTAAACTGAAGGGTGGGCTCACAGAGGCTCTTCTCTCCTCAGCTAATGGTGATGATAAAAAACAAACAGCTCTGCTCTCTGGAAAAATCATTCCTGCTGAAGGACTTGATGTTCTGTGAAAACTAAAATGCAAAAAACTCCCATGCAGTTGCTATTCTATTTTGAAGTCTTATCTTAAGGCCTGCAGGCATGTTCTAACTCAAGCATGGACCTTATTCTTGCGGTGGCCCTATTCTTTAGTGGGGGAAACAAGTGATTTCTTTATGCCTTTCCTGTCAAAACACCCTCCGCTGCCCTCAGATGCTTATTTATTGACAACTTCCCTTTTCCAAGCCTTCTTGCACAGTGCCAATAAGAGCTACACTTCAGTAGGATGCATTCAGCTATCCCAGGTTTTGATCTTGGAACAGGAAGATTCCCATTCCCCAGGCTGCTGCAAATGTCTTTTGTAGCAATTAACTGACATTTGGTGTCTTTCAAGTGAACCATTTGAAGTGAATGTGTTTTAAGTGAACTGTCTAATTGTTGCTTTGTTGGGTGAATGTTAAAGCATTTTTAAAATGATAGAATCACAGAATGGTTTGAGTTGGAAGGGATCTTAAAGATCATCCAGTTCCCATCCCCTTCCGTGGGCAGGGACACCTTCCTGGCCTTGAAGATAAATGCATCTTTCAAATTAGTAGTAGTATCATATTTTTTTAAACTGAGCATGTCTTCAGCTAAGTCAGACTGCATCTTGAAACAGGTGATGATTGAGTTGTGCCAGTTTGTTCCCTGGGGAGAACAGCGCCTGCTGCTACTTTTATGGGCAGCCTTGCATGGGGTCCCCATTGTATCAAGTGCTTGTCTTTATATCACTGCCATAGGCTCTCATCTATTTAAACTTCTCCCTCTGATTTTTAGCTCATCTGAGATGGGGTTTTGTAATTTTAGTTACATGCGCTAGATGTAAGCACTGTTACCTTTCCCTTTTCACTGGGAAAACCTTTCTCAAACATTTTCATTACTAGACTTGAGCCTGCTGTGGTCCCTTTGACTTACTTTTATCCTGCTTCCATTGTTATCCGTTGTCCACATTAGAAATGCTGTGGGCATGCAAAACAATAATTGTAGGCAATAGATCCACTCAGGTTTTGAGCATTGGTGTTTCTTTAAGCTCCTTGTGTTGCCTTCTCAAGCATACTCGATTGAAGGTGCTGCCTGAACACCTCCGAAAAGCTAGAAATGGAAAGATGATGTCTGGTTTGATGTGTGTGTGATCTGGCTCACTCAGCTGTACATCCTCATTGGTACTGGGCTGCATAGTGGCACCTGTGGGTTCAGGTCCACACCAGACCAGTTCAGGGCTCTCCATGCACCACATGGAGTTGGACTCCAAATATGGGGCTGGCTCCAGCCATTCCTTGTGCCACCCTTCCACCTTTGAGTTTCATGGGATAAAATGAGG